AGAGAGAGAGAGAGAGAGAGAGAGAGAGAGAGAGGGAGAGAGATAGCAGGAGAATTTATCAAATTTAAAATTTATGCCTTACCAATACTTCACTCTTGCTTTAATCCAATTAATCAGCTGACTGGCTCTTCATAGAGCAAAGATAAATGAACTCGAGTGTTAAGGCATAGATATAAAAGTATCTTTACGGGGTTCTAAAAATGGCGCCATTAAAAATATACAGCACAAGTCTTTCTCGCTTGCGGCGCCAACAACAACAACAACAACTACAAGAATAATAATAATAATAATAACAACAACAACAAGAGAAAATAGCAATGATAATAAATACTAGTAGGAACATCAACATAAACATCAGCAGCAATAACAACAGCGGACAACAAAAAGTTAATGACATCATCAGGAGAAGAATCCTCACCACAAAGATACTTAATCGACGATAATAGAAGCAAAAGAATAAAAACGAAAAAAAAACTTATTTTAATGAAAAATGTAACAAATAAAAAATGTAAACAAAAACATTTGCGTAAATAAAAACGCTCCGCAAAAAACTGACGTAGATATATAAATGTCTACAGATATAAGATCGGGTGTAAATTTAATATGAATTAAAATATCATAGATACAAACACCCCAAACAAAAACATAGATATAAAATGAGAATTGATGCGCCAAAGATATGAAAATGTAAACAAAATGAGAGAAACATAGATATAAAAGTTGTATGTACCGAAAAATAAACGAAAAATTCGCGGCGAAAAATACAATATCGTAAAGAAAAAAAGGAGGTAAAAAGAATTTATAACATAAATACTTAAACAAAACACACTACACCCAAATGACATCTTGTACGGGATTTACATACTTTTACAATATCTCAGAAGCTTATGTGTGTATGTATGTATATTATACATACACGTGCACATACAAACACACATACAAACACACACATATACATACACGCGCACATACAAACACACACATATACATACACGCACACAAACAAACACACACATATACTTACACATATATACATACAAACATGCATACTTGTATATTTTTTTTTATTTTACTTATTCATTTATTACACATAGAAACATATAAAAACATGTACAAACGCATATATACATTAGTCTCACATACGTATGGACGCACACACGTACGTACATACATACAAACTTAAGACATACATTCTTCAAAAGATGTTTGACACATACATGCAAGCTTATATGTAAGCTTCTCACTTACACTTTCATAAATAAACACACACACACACACACACACACTCTCATACATGAACATCATTTGGATACACATATGTACATATATAAAAATGTGTATAAAAATTATATATATATATATATATATATATATATATATATATATACATATATATATATATATATATACAGATAAATAAACATTTCTAATTGGATAGATAACACACAAACACAAAATGCATAGATGTTTTAGCAGAAGACAAACAAACAGCATAGATAATAGTGCAAGCAAAGAACATTGACCATAGACCATAGAACATCGGAAAGAAGAAAACATAGAACCTTCATATTTTAATAGAAATTCCGGTGTTTTATCGCTCAGAGTGAAGTATATGGTTAGACTAGATGATTCCGAAGTATAGCTAAAATGCTCCTGGTGGTGATGATGACGATGATGTTGTTGACGATGATGTTGTTGATGATGATGTTGTTGCTGTTGTTGATGAAGTTGTTGTTGATGATGTTGTTGTGGACGTTGCGGCTGGCGTTCAAATTGGCGGCCGTGGTAATTATTGAGCGGCTGTTGTTGTTGTTTGTGTTGTTGTTCCATTGTTTGCCAGCCCGGTACGTTGATAGCTGCAGTTTTCAACGACATTAGCAACGATAACAACAACAATAATGACATCAATAATAACAGCATCAACAACAACAAAAACAATAATAACATCAACAACAACCAAACCGCAAATAAGTTTGAAGTAAAGAGAAAGAAAACCCACCAGAGTCCCCTTCGGAATAATCACAAAGTGTTATAAACTTGCGCGTAGAGCCATCTTTTATTACGCCGACTTGATAACAAAATGGCGGCGGACCGGAAGTAGATGGGCCGCCATTTTGAATTACTTTTGTGACGTCATCATCAGACCGAAAGTGGTAACTAAAAATGGAAACGTTGTTGTTGTTTTTGTTGCTGATGCCACCAATTATGTTGTTGGTTTCATGAATGGTATTAACCTTAGGAGGCAGGGAGTTTATGCTAATGCTTTTAATAAATCGCTTATTAATTGTCGTTGTTGACGTTATTGTTTTTGTTGTGGTTGTTGTTGTTGTTGTGCCTGTCGCGGTATAACCAAAAAGATTTTCAATTTTATTCGCAACACAAAATGTTGTTTTTAAAGTCGTTGGTTTCGTTGCTGTCGTTGGATTCATTGATGTCATTAAATTTGTTGATGTCATTAAATTTTTCGACGTTTTTGAATGAAAAAAGACATAATAATCTGTTAAATTTGGTGTTGTTGTTGAAACCACGCCTGTTGATTTTGTTGTTGTTGTTTTTGTCGTTGTGAATGAACTCGTTGAGTTTCCTGTCAAAATGCTTGAACGTTTTGCTCTTTTGATTGTCAGGGATGAAATATTCTCTGGCGTGACCGTCGTCGTCGTTGCTGCCGTGGCTGCTGTGGCTGCTGTGACTGCTGTGGCTGCTGTAACTGCTGTGGCTGCTGGGTATGATGCTTTCAAAAAAGTTGAAATTGTATCTGACCATGTTGATGATATTGATGTCAGCCTGTCAATAAAGACATCGTTCATACCGTCTTCGATTATATTTTTCGTAGCAAAAACATTGTCACTATCACTGCCGTTACTACTCTTACTACTGCTGCTGCTACTACTACTACTTCTTTTACTACTGCTGCTACTACCACTACTACTTTTACTATTATTACTATCCTTGCCGCTGCTAATATTTCTTTCCAATTCAAAATTTTGATAATTCGCTTGGCCGAAAGCAACATCTCTTCTCGTATACCCCCTCCCGCCCATCCCTGAGTGTGACGTAATTAGAACGGGACCGGAAATGACCACCAAAGTTATTTTAAGTCTTTGGTGACGTTTTACTTTTAGCTGCCACGGGCATTTTTCGTTACCGATGTTGTGCTGTCTGGCTATGAGGCTGGATAAATAACCGGAAGTGACGTCATTGTTGTTGTTGCTGCTGCTGCTGCTGCTGTTGTTGATGTTCTTTGTTGTTGTGTTATCATAGTTATCGAGTTTTGATGTATTAGGCGTGTTATCGTTGATTCTGTTGGTTTTGTTAATGTTGTCGTTGATGTAGTTGTTTGCATCATTATTACTGTCGTTGTCTTGATTGCTGCTGTTGTTGTGATTGTCGTTATTATTATTGTTGTTGCTGCTGTTGTTGTTGATATTTTGAAAACAGATCTGATGGCTTGCTGGTGTAGCTGGTTGGAGGTGATTTATAGGAATCATTACGTTTATTGTTATCGTACTGACCATCATCATCTTCGTCGTCGTCATCATCATCATCCTCATCATCATCGTTGTCATTATTTTTATCATCGTCGTCATCGTCATAGCTATAGTCATCATTTCAATTGTCGTCGTCGTCATCATCTTCCTCATCATCATCCTCATCATCATCCTCATCATTATCCTCATCATCGTTATCAGTATCAGCATCATTATCTTTTCCCTAGACACCCCCATCTCAGCGGTCAGGTGACGTACGTCCTGACGTAATTGATGACGTATATGATCGCCCGTTATGAATAATGATGAAGCGCCTAACTTTTATTTTTGCTTTTTTTCATTTATTTTTCCCAATTTCATTGCATAATTATTTCAGAACGTGGTACCGCGTTAGCGTTAGGTACAGAGTGCAAAGAATGTATCTGCTGTGTGTGCTGTATTCTACATGTATGTTGTTGTTGTTTTTGTTTTTGTTGGTGTTGTTGTTGTTTTCGTCGTCGTGTAATCTGTTTGTGGTTAGTTTATAAATTGTTTGTTATAGTTGGAAGAATCGCTTTCGGCCAAAGAAACTTTTTTTCTACCGGAGTTTTGTTTCGGCCAAAAATCGGTCTAAACTTAAATTCTTAAATATTTTAAGAGCAACTATTTTATTAATTTCACCAAAATTTTTGTTTCAAACTTTTTTACTAGAATAAAATGTAGTAATAATAGTTGTAGTAGTTGTTGTTGTTGTTGTATTAGTAGTGGTAGTAGTAGTGGTCATCGTCGTAGTAGTGGTGGTGGTAATAGTAGTAGTAGTAGTAATAGCAGTAGTAGTAGTAGTAAAAGTAGTAGTAGTAGGTAGTAGTAGTAGTAGTAGTAATAGTAGTAGTAGTAGTAGTAGTAGTAGTGGCAGTGGCAGTGAATGTTGCCTGATGTGACTTTTCCTTTTCTTAAATATGCGATCTAATGAATAAAATTGAGTTTAGCGGCTCTGACGAGACGGATTTTTTAGAAGTAAAATACTTATCCAGTATTGCATACATAATATTTATCTACATCGTAAGCATTTTAGTGTAATTTGATTTTTATTTAAATTTATTTTAAATATTTGTTTTCATTTTACATGAAAATTATTATTCATATTTTGTAAAACAGGTAGTATTCTGTATTTTGCATTATTCCATGAGAAAATTTTACTTAATACTTTATATAATATGTAAAAATCATCTTTTGAGAGCAATAATAACATACAAATTAGAAACTTTGAGAATCCATTAAATTGATTGTTGAATTTTAAGAAGAGGGTGGGAGTGCAAACGTATTTGTTAAAATAACATAACCTGTTAATGGGGTGATGCGAGTGTTGGGATTCTAAACAAAATTATTCGACAAACAAACAAACAAACAAACAAACTAACTAACTAACTAACTAACTAACTGACTAACTGACTAACTGACTAACTGACTGACTGACTAACTAACTAACTAACTAACTAACTAACTAACTAACTAACTAACTAACTAACCAACTAACTAACTAACAACAACAAAACAACAACAATAACATGATAGTTTACAGTTACAACAACAAAACTTCAGCAACAAAAACATAATTTTTAACAGTCGCAACAAAGTTCTCGATCGCTTCAACAGATCCATGTTTAAAAAAATCTCAAGTGAAATGGGCACAAAATTTAATACGTAACGCACATTTGAAAGGCAGCGAGACAAATGAAACATAGCGACAACAACAACTTCTGCTACATCAGCACTATCATTAAACATATTTTTGTCATTATGAACATCATAAACAACAACACAAACAACAACACACACAACAACGTAAACAACAACATAGACAAACCTTCAACGCATTTATACTTGACCTCCAGATACAAACTCAGATCACGTGGACAAGGTTTGGCCACATTCAAAATGGGGTCCATGACCCTCACCTGACAACTTCTCTGGCCACCGCATTTTCGGTTTAGTTGTGACGTCACATCCGCCCAACAGCCGACGTAGCCGTGACTTCCGGACACGCAACTTCCGGCGCGCATGCGCCCGAAGCGAGCGCCTTCGATAATAATTACGCTGTTGCTGCTGTTGTTGTTATTGTTGTTGTTGTTTTTGTTGTTGTTGATGTATCGAGAACAAGTAACATTGAAGTGTTGAGATTGGCAGTATGATCTGTAGCCTGATTTGTGTGATGATAATGACGATGATGAGATGATGTTGATGATAAGATGATGGTGATGATAATGGTAATGATGAGGATGATAGTGATGAAGAAATGACGATGATGACGATAATGATGAAAATACGATAATGATGATGAATGTGACGAAGTTAATAATTGCAATAAAAATTAGCGATTAATTAGCTGTGTTGACAACAATAAATTTATGAAGGAACAGACTAATGAATGAATAAATGAATGAATAAACGAATGATTAAATGAATGAATGAACGATTAAATGAATGAATGAATGAATGAACGGATGGAAAGACGGAAAAACAAATGAATAAACGCAGAGTGGATAAATAAATTGATGGATGGATAGATTGCCAATAGTTCTGTATGAAAAATCGTTTCTGTCACTTATGGGATATATTAAGAGGGGCAATAATAAATAATAATAAATAATAATAATAATTATTATTATAATAATAATAAAAATGATAATAATAATAATAATGTTGAAGAAAAAAGATCCTATATATATATATTCGATTGAAATTAATGCGAGGTAATAGCAATATTAATAAATACTAACTAGGAAGAATTTTTAATATATATATATATATATATATATATATATATATATAATATCAACAATAATAATAATAATAATAATACGAATGATAGCACTGTATGTAATTCATCTAAATGTGAAGCAGATATGAATGATGGGGCAGCTTTATGGATAGAAAACTTGTTCTTCTTCTTTTTCTTCATCCTCATCACCATCACTATCTTCATCATCTTTCTCATCATCATCATCATCATTCTACTTCTCGTCATCGTCATCGCCATTTTTTTCTTTATCATTATCATCATCATCATCCTACTTCTCGTCATCATCATCATCTTTCATCTTCATCATCATCTTCTTCGTCGTCGTCAGCAAAAATACTACTACACTGACATCACAACAACTCTACAATACTACCATGCTGACAGTATAGAACGTTTGTGACAATGTATCAACGCTGTCATATATCTTATATGACCAGTTACAGTTTCTTCTTTCCAAAACTAACCATGTTAAAAAATCCTAAAATTCTTACATTACTAATTTTTTACAAACTTTTAAAACAATACTTAAATGTGGTTTATTAAATTTATTAAAAGTTTGGTGTAAATTACTGTAAGCGGGAGATAGTGAAGTTGTTAAGACGGCTGGTCCCAATTTTGCAAAGCTCGGTTTCGAATACACATAGACTCAGGTCAATCCCCGATTTATTCACACACTATTAATACTACAACAATCGTTAGTATTATTTCTACAACTGCAATTTATACTAATTATTTTACTACTCATTCAACTACTAAATAATCCCGATACAATACTGGTGTGGCTATTTCAATTCTATGTGAAGCCGCTGCTTCTGCTACTACTTTTAGTTATAATCATGATAGAATTATAATAATAACGCTATTATTACAGTTATTATTATTAATATTAAGTACTACTAATTCTATCGCCACAGCCACAACAACTACAGTAACCACAGCCACAACAACTACAGTTACCACAGCCACGACAACTACAGTTACCACAGCTAAAACAACTACAGTTACCACAGCCACAACAACTACAGTTACCACAGCTAAAACAACTACAGTTACCACAGCTAAAACAACTACAGTTACCACAGCCACAACAACTACAGTTACCACAGCCACAACAACTACAGTTACCACAGCTAAAACAACTACAGTTACCACAGCCACAACAACTACAGTTACCACAGCTAAAACAACTACAGTTACCACAGCCACAACAACTACAGTTACCACAGCCACAACAACTACAGTTACCACAGCCACAACAACTACAGTTACCACAGCCACAACAACTACAGTTACCACAGCTAAAACAACTACAGTTACCACAGCCACAACAACTACAGTTACCACAGCCACGACAACTACAGTTACCACAGCCACAACTGCTACGGCCACAGCCACAACTGCTACTAGGAGAGCAAAAGTTCGTGCACGTTTATAATTAGTAACGTTCGTGATAGGAGCTAATGTATGGCCGCGTATCCATTCTCATGTCAAACCAGCCGACCGAGTTGAAGATAACGTTCGAATAAAATGGATGAATGCATGGATGGATGGATGAATGCATGCATGGATGGATGAATGGATGAATAAATGTATGTATGGATGAATGAATGAATTAATGAATGCATGGATGGATGGATGGGTAGATAGATGGACGGATGAAATAATTTATAAAAAAAAGATTTAGTTTAACGTTATACATTTGCTTGGCAGATAGATGACTAAATATGGATGAAAAAATTGAATAAATGAATGAATGAACGAACGAACAAACGAACGAACGAATGCATGAATGAATGAACAAAGAATGAATGGATGAACAAAAAAGGAATGACCGATTAAACAGATATAAGTATGAATGAATGAAGGTACGGATGAACGAATGGCAACAATAACGCCCATTCTAGATAGAGAACGCTTCGCGAGTTTGATTGATACCAACAACAATGTGAAAAGTTACTAATACTACTAGTATTATTACTACTGCTGCTGATGCTATTACTACTAATAGCCATTCAAACTCGTCACTACTAATATTGAAAATAATAGTTACAAAAATACTAAATACTGTTTCTACAGTTACAAGTGGAATGATTACTTCAACATTTACAACCAGGGCGTATCTAGACAACTTTGACTGGAGCTGGCAAAATTTTGGAAATGTTTAAATTTTGAAATTTGACGAAGGACCAAGCAATTAACCAAACTTGTACCAGTGGCTGGCGATCTTTTATTGGTTCATCACGTCAATTTTTGATCGATTTTTGACTAAAAACTGAGTTTATCTGAATTTTAATAAGAATATTGTTTCCCACGAGGGCCATGGTCGGCCCCGCCGCTTCAAATCCGCCACTGCATGATGAATCTCTTAACAAACTACCAGCTTATTTCACTATATCAGCGTCACATTTCAACGAACGAAACTGAACTATAGTAATTCATGATGGTGATAACCATTTGGTTGATTCAAGATACTATATAAAATGAAGAATATTTTAGCAACACACTGCTCACAACACGAGGGGCATGGCTACTTCTAGATCTTCCTCTGTTTACAACTACTAATTCAACTGCTACTTGCCGCTACTACAATAACTTCTACTACTACTGCTGCTGCTGTTGCTGTGGCTACTATAGATACTGCTTTTGCTTCTTTAACTATTACCACAATTTAACTGATACTGTAACGATGAAGACGACGACGATGATGATAGTCATGACGATCGTGATTATGAAATTTTTAAAATGGGTTTGATTGATTGATTGAATGATTGGCTGGTTGATGGGTTGATTTGATTTGATTGATTGGTCATGTAGGAACGATAGATTTGAATTTGATTGGTTGGCTGTGGTTTGCATGGAGGTGGGATTTTAACGGTTTCATATTGTACCATGATATTTTGTTATTTGAAAATGAATAAATAAGAGAGAGAAGGAGAGAGAGAAAATTAGAGAGAAAGAAAAAGAAAAAGAAAAAGAGAAGAGTAAGATGATAGGTAATGATGATTTTAATGAGGATGTTAGCGATGACGAGATGATGATGACAAGGATGACGATGATGACGACCTTTCATAGACATAACATCCATTCGATTGTTTTGCAGTCTGTATGCCTTGACGAGCAAAGTGTTGTTGTTGATGTTGTTGTTGTTGTTGTTAAAGTTGTTGTTGAGGTTGTTGTTGATGTTGTTGTTGTTGATGCTGATGTTGTTGTTGTTGATGATGTTGTTGTTGTGGTTGGGGTTGTTAGAAACGGCAGTAGCCTTTGCAAATGTCGCCATTATTTCAGTTGCGACAGCAATTGTTGTTGTTATTATGTTGTTGCTGTTGTTGTTGTTGTTTTTCAATGTTGTCGCGAGTATGAAGATGGCAGTTAAGATGATGTTGACGGTTGAGATTATATTGTTGCTACTGTTGCTTCTCTGGGTTTTGTTGCCTTTGTTTCTGTATTTGATGTTGTTGGTTTTGTCGGTCGGAGACATGTCTTTTTGTCGTTGTGGTTGTTTGTCGTCAGGGTGACTGTCATTCAAAGAGTAGTTTCAGTGTTTCTGTAACTATTTATCATTATTAAAATGTTAATTGAATCTTGTTTAAAAGTGTTCATGTTGTTGTCTTTGTGTTGTTGTTTTTTGTTATAGTTGTAGAAGTTTTGTTGTTGTTGCTGTTGTTGCTGCAATTGTTGTTGTTGTCGTAGATGTCGTAATTGTTATCAGGGCTGTTTCTTACAAGTTTCAACACTATTGTAATGTTTTATTGTTAATCAATGATCAACCCCTATAAAACCTTTCCATTATTTTTATCATGTATCTATCTAACACACACACACACACACACACACACACACACACACACACACACACACACACACACACACACACACATACACATAGACAGACACACACACACACACATACAAACACACACATACAAACACACACATACATAGACACACACACAAACACACAAACACACAAACAAACAAATAAAAAACACAACACATACACACAAAAATATACCTATATTTGAAGCGTTAATAACAAACACCTCAAACTTAAATGCATTTTTGCTTAAAGATGGTTAAAAATTTAATTTAAGCGCCATATCTCTTGGTCTTGGTTGATGCCTGTGAGGTTTGCAGTCTTTCGAAGGAAGGTAAATATTCTTAATTTAATTTTTATTAATTCACCACACACACGCACGCACACAAATGAACAAACAAACACACGCACAAACACACACACACATGGATATGTATGTAATAAAAACGACCAAAGCCGTTAAAATCGACAATGAAAATATGAATAATAATAATTATTATAATTATTATTATTGTCATTATTATGATTTATTATTGTTATAATTTTTATATCATCATCATCATCACCATCATAGCTGTCGCCATTTTTAGTGTTTTGTTTGCCCGCGTTGTATTATCGCCTCCCGAGCTGATGAGATTAGTCCTCATCCTTTTTTATTGGGACAACTACTGGTGATGATGATGATGGTGGTGGTGGTGGGGGTGATGATGATGATGGTGGTGGTGGTGGGGGTGATGATGATGATGGTGGTGGTGATGGTGGTGGTGGTGGTGGTGGTGGTGGTGATGATGATGATGATGATGGTAGAAATGGTTGTAAAGATTTTATTTTTTATTGTAAAAAAATTTTTATAGAAGATATATATTTGTTTAATACAAAAATAAACACTAATAAAATGAATAAACCACAGAATTATTTTTTTAAAAGCAATAAAACATGAAGTACAAAGCATTTTCACCAAGAAAAACAACCACAGTGATTGATTTGTGAGGGTTTCTCTAAAATAACTTTCATCTAACAATGATGTTTAAGTAAAGTTAAGTAAAAAATTATGATGAAAAAGTTGAAATCTTTTCCTGGGAGTCGGAACTCGCAGTTGGGACCGGAATTTTTCACCTGGATTCGGAGTCGATAAACCTTTTCCGACTCTGGAACTCTGGAAAACCCATTAAAAGGTGAAAAATTATATCTTAAGGAGATACGTAATACGTACGTACGGAGATGGTTAAGATAGGAACGTGAAAAATGGTATTAATGCCTTTAATTCTTGATTATTATTATTGTTGTTATTATTATTATTGTTGTTGTTGTTACTATTGTTGTTGTTGTTATTATTATTATTGTTGTTGTTACTATTGTTGTTGTTGTTGTTATTATTGTTATTATTATTGCGGTAATTAACGGTGATTAATATGATAAATGTGAAAGAGATAACGAAGGGTGACTCCGTATTGTTTTAATTCTATTTGTATGTTTTCGTTTGCTGTTGTTCGCATGTTTGGATGTTTTTGCTGTTTGTTTGTTGTTTGACTGTATGTTTGTTTGTTGTTTGACTGTATGTTTGTTGTTGTTAAAATGATATTAATGATAATAATGATGAGAACGATGATGATGATGAAATTATTGCGATGACGAAACGGTAATGAGAGTATGGCGTCTATAAGATGGCAATGAGGATGATAATGAAACGTGGTGATGCTGCTGTCGCCGCTGCTGTCGATGCTACTGTCGCTGCTAAAGGTAATGATAATGAATATAAAAAAAGATGATGATAATGATGATGATAAAGTTGATGAAGAAGATGAAGATACAAATGATGTACGATTCGGATTATGATGTTGTCGCTTTTCAGTGTTGTTTATGTCCGCTTGTTTTGTCTTTCCATGTTTATTGCTCATTTTTTGTGTTTATTATTATTATTATTTATTATTATTGTTGTTGTTATTTTGGCCCAGCCATCACAGTGACCTCTTTTGAACTCAAAGGTAATACAACCAAAACACATATGACATGAAGTGTGCGTGTGTGCTTGTGTGTGTGTATGTGAGTGTGTGTCTGTGTGCGGGTGTGCGTGCGTGTGTGCGTGTGTGTGCATAATGCAATTCTCGCGTATCCTAACCTCTGAGGATTTTTTAAGAAAGAATAACTTTAAACAATAGTAATAATACTAATACTACTACTACTAATAATAATAATAATTACAATAAATATAATTATAATAATATTAATAATTAAATTAATTACAATAGCCACACAATCACTCACTTTTCGTAGTAACGATTGTATCCATTTTATTACAGCCCACCCATATCCCGCATTAAAGGCGTAATACTATTGATATTACTACCCAATGATACATCATAGTATGTATGTAAGTATCATGATTGAATTGTGCGTTATATAAGTGTTATAATATGTTAATGTTACACACATGTATGCATATATAATTATAATAATTCAGAATGTTTGTGTGTTATTGAAAGGCGATGGTGTAACGATTAACGAGAGTTGTAATTTATTAAATTAATAAATAATTATTCAAAATTATTATTCAACTTTAACAACTTTACCGACGATTTTGTTCTTATATCAATAAATACTTTGACTCTACAGGTAAGTAGTAAGTTTTATTATCGTTACTAAATTTACGACTATGATCTATAACTCAAGCATGTGACGTAATAGCTACAACAATGACGTCATCGCCCTATAGAGGAAGTAGAAAGAGAACGCCATGCATTGTACTGGTGTGTGCCTTATTTATTTATAAGGTCCTGAGATGACACTTTTTGGGGTGATGCGCTATGTGTGTATGTATGTATGTATGTGTGTATGTGTGTATGTGTGTATGTATGTATGTATGTATGTATGTATGTATGTATGTATGTATGTATGTATATGTATGTATGTATGTATGTATGTATGTATGTATGTATGTATGTATGAATGAATGTGTGGTATGTATGCATGCACGTATGGTATTGCATTGTGTTGTGGCATACACATTATCTCAAACGCAAACATTTATATAAATAGCCCCTTAAAAGGAAGGCCCAGTGCCATGCACCTTTATGTGTGGCCCAGGCGTGTCCGCCCTACCTACATACCTACATGTATGTACAATGCACTATTTTAAAATTTTAAACTTAACGTCTTTTGTATTTGCAGTATAAATCGGGTATTTGTATGTAGGAGGAGAGTGTATATATAGGCACATTTAAGTGTATATAGATACATGAGTGTGCGTGTGTGTGCGTGTGCGTGCGTGTGTGTGTGTGTGTTCTGTTTCAAATGGAGAAATGAAAAGTGATTGCTATGGAGTCCCCTGTTGTGACGGAGCAGTTAGTTGTTTGTTTGTTTACTTGCCTTTTGTTTTTCTGCTTTTTTGTATGTTTGTTTGTTTGTTAAAGTACTCACCCGCAAATGTTACTATTTTTGCCTATGTTTTTGTATGTTTTACATACATGTTTATCAAATTAACAGATTGTGCTAACGTTTCAGATATAAATTTGTATATTTATCTCTATGTTTGTATATTTATCTTTATGTTTGTATATTCGTGTACAAATAATTGTTTACATTTGTTTATATATTTGTTTATTTGTATTCTATAAACAGAAAAAAATATTAAAAAAAAACTCTCAAGAACATTGTTCAAATTTTAATTTCAAAAATTTTTTTTTTTTTTGCAAATTAACGTTCAAAAAGCGACATAATTAACTTAAACGACAACATCATCAATAAAAACATCAAAACAACAACATCATCAACAACAACATTAACAACAACAACAATATCATCAACAACAAAAACAACAGCAAAATCAACAACAACAACAACATCAAAACAACAACATCAACAACAACATCAAAACAACAACATCAAAACAACAACAATCTCAACATCAACAAAATTTCCATGATAAAAGCTAGCTACATTTACGGCGGTCTACATTGTCATATATAAAGCATATAAAACTACAATAAGTATCCCGAATTCAATAGAAACATACATAGTTACATACACACACAGACACACACATACATACACCTCCTCACGAACACACATACACAAACAAACACACACACACATACCATACACACACACACTCACACACACACATACATAAATATGTACAGTTATACAAAACGCGAGAATTCTATTACATAAATATCTATATCTCGAAATACATTTATTTACTGTCATTTAAATAAATAAATATGAATAAATATATAAATACAAATAAATATGATATAAAAACAAATAAATATTTAGATATGTAGGTATATACATATATTAAGTATTAGTCAAATTAACCCATTAAAATAATAACAGTTATATACAATGCAGTTAAATTGATCAACAAACATTATCAGGTTAAAAGTCTTCGTCGTCGTCATCATCATCTTTTTGATAGTTTATTATTATTATTGTTATTATGATTTTCGTTGTCGTCATCGTCACTACTACTGCTACTGCTGCTGCTGATAATAGCGGCTGCCTGCAATCGCGATACCATATCGACCTGCCGAATGGATTTAAATTAATATGTAAGTAGCTCAACTATTTAATTAGTATGTAATTGGATCATTTAATTAATTAATTAACATGAATATGTAGGGGGACAATTTTTAATTAATTCACAAGTGGTTTACTTATTTAATCTATTCACAAATTCTAAACTACTGAATTAATAATATGCAACATTAAAATTAATTTAATACTTCAAAAGATAATATTAATTCATTCAAATAAACCATTCAGCCAATCACAAACCAGGAAGTTATCTTTGACCACGCCCTTGCGCTTATCATCATCATCATCATCGTTATGATTGGCAGTATTATTATTCACATCATCATCATTAATGACGTCACGATTGTTATTAGTTTCATCTTTATAATCTTTGTTGTCCTCACATATGTAATCTTCTACGTGTAAATTCAACCTAACTCTTCTCCTCACAACTAGGTCAAGACTTGTGACGTCACCGACCAGATAGCCAATAGGAAGCAGTTCAGGAGCCGTCAAAGTTTCTGATTGGTTGCGATTGACAATTGAAATGATGATATGGTGATAATGATGAATTTGACAAACAAATGGGTCTTGAGATCCGCTCTGAACATCGTAAGTGATGAAGAAGTAGTCAGAGAAGGAGGGAGAGACTACTAGAGAATTGGGTCAGAAAAAGCGAATGCAGATTCAGCATAAGAGTGTTTAACAGGAGTTAAGAAGAAGTGAGAAGGAGAAGAGGCTAAGGTTAAATTAATATATCTTGGGAAATAATTGGGATTGCAGCTTGTACATTAACGTGCAAACTTTAACAATTGCGAGATGATGAAACTGATGATATGAGAGAGATAAGGATGATAATAACGTGGCTGCCGATGATGATGATGAAATGACTGAAGCTGAGATGATAACAAGAATGATACGATAATGATGATGAGATGATGATGAGATGAGGATGATGATGATGATGACGACACTCACTTAATTTCCTTCTTATCTCTCCGACCGTGTAATGCAACAACTTCAACCTGTAAGCCTCTCTTGATAAACAATACTCCTAAGGTTATTTATTATGAATCGTATTATTGAAATTATTATTATTTCTATTATTATTATTATGATAATTTTTAAGAGCCGCCAAGATGGTTATCTATTTCTCCCGCTTTAACGTTATCATCCTCATCATCATCATTATCATCATCATCATTGTCATCATCATCAACGTTTTGTTATACTTTTAAATATAATCAAAAACGTTATCATCGTATAGATCTTTCTCGAAACCATCGCTATCATTATCATCATTACCAGCAGCAGCATCATCATCAACATCGTCATCATCATTAGTGACCTTGAACTTTTGAACCACAAGGTCGTCCAAACTTTCCCACGTTGTTCTATCGCCAATCAACATGCTTCCAAGGTCAATTATTTTCTCCCCGACATCATCATCATCAGCATCGCCACCATCAACTTCGTTATCATCATCATCATCGTCGTCGTCGTCATCATTATCATTAACATCGGTTGTCATGATGATGATTACGAGAGGGATGAGTTTCCCGGTTGAAGTCACAGTAGCCGTTGGGTTGAGGTCTGGAAAGCGATGATGATGATGATGACGGTGATGATGACGGTGATGATGATGATGATGGTGATGATGACGAAACTAATGATGATTATGATGATGATTACGAGCCGGAAAATGATGACGATGATCAGTGGATGTTGTAGCAGAAATTAGCGAGAACAACTTTTCAATGCTGCCTACAACGTCATCCATAAAAAGAAGATGATAACAAGAGTAACATCATCATCCTCATAATCACCACCATCGTCATCTTCATCATCATCATTACCATAATCACCTACCTCTTGATTGGCATCTCGTCATGAGGTAGCTCAGCGATTCCGAACGCCGGTGCTGCTGCTGCTGTGGGCTGCAACAAATCGCCGTCGTCGGCGTCACCTTAATAATAATAATAACAACAATAATAATAATAATTGAAATAATAATAATAATGACAGCAAAAATAATATTCGTAAATAAACAATACAATAAATTAACCTCGTTGCTGCCAATCAACGAGAACTGATGAGAATTTCGAAAAGTTAATCTCGCATCCCTACTTTGATGATGACGTTGTTGTTGTTGTTGATGTTGCTGTTGATGATGATGATGATGACGACGATCGTTATCAGTACCATCGCTAGTTAAATAGCCGCTGCCTAATTCGTCAGCTCTAGGATTAGGCAACATGGCGGATGAGAACGGGGATGTGACATAACTTCTGTTTTGAATGAGTTTTCAGATTATATAGCTCAGTATTATTAGGAATTAAAAATTAATATTTCTGTAGAACGAGGTAACTTAACGTTAATATATCAATAGCTGAGCTCGGTGGCGAAGTTTAAGTAACGAATTTTTGTACTCGTGAGGTACTCTCCCTTGCAACAAAGTAACAGAAATTAGAAGCCCTTCTACTTGTAATTAAGCAGCCTAACTATCTTCGGTTGTACTTTTGCTACGTTACTTTGTAGCCTTCATTTGTTACAAGTAAAAAAAAAATGTGCGTGATTTTCATTTGGTCTTCGAAGTAGTCCCAACCGGCTTTGGAATGAGTGATGAAAAAGAATTTAGAAATTGGGTGATGTTAATATATAAAATCCAACGAGTAACTGCATTGTGAATACGTGCTAGTTGTCGAACTTCCATTTGTATCACGCATATATTACGTTTATATTTTTAATTAATTAAAAAATTGATTGATTAATTGAAGAGTTTGTTTAATTAACTAAAAAAATTAATTACAAAATAAGTTAATTAATTAATTACTAAATTAATTAATTAAAGTAAAAAACTACCGATTCGAAACGAAAGAATTGTGAGTGGGTAGGTATGGCAAACTCCCTGAAAAAGCATCAACTTTTCGGGATGTTTGCAATGAAAATCTTTGTTGCTGTTGAAGCTGCTGCTGCTGTTGAAGCTGTTGCTGTGACGTCACTGATGGTTGGAGCCAGCGGGAAAATGTTTTGTTAAGCTGTTTTATCAATGTTGACGATTTTGTCAGGTACATAAATTTTAAATTTGTGTATGTAATTTTTTGCCATTAAATCCTAATTACCAATATCTACGTCTTTTTTGTTGTCTCATTGTAATAATAATAATAATAATAATTTTTTTTTATTGTTATCATTTTTACCGTCCTTTTATTTTTTATCATCATCATCAAACTTATTGCTATCAAGATCATGATCAACATCATCATCCTCATCATCATCATCATTACAGTCATTATCAGCACTACCTACCATCACAATCATCATCAACACCGTCGTCATTGTCATTCATCTTCACTTCAATCATTCACTCTTTGTCATCTGACATACCCATTTTTTGACCGATGGTTTTCCATCATTTAATTGTTGTTGTTGCTTCCTATCAACCTCGCCCATCCCTGTTTTTGTTTGTGACGTAGACAAACTCATCCTGCGTCCATAGCAACGGCTGTCATGGAGTGTATCCAAGGGTTCGAGGGATGTGCTGTAGCTGATTAAGTCTTTGTTAAGTGGTTTAAAAAAATTTAAGTTATCTTGTCCGAATGTAGCATCTTTTGTTGGGGATGTTACGCTGTTCGGTAGTTTCGGTTTTGATTTCAAAATGTTGTCGCTGTAGATGTTTACGTCATCGTATATATGTTGATCACGTGATGTGTTGTTGTTGTTGACGTTGTTACTGATGTTGTTATTCGTGTTGTTCAAGCTACTAAGTATGGATAGTCTGATATTGGAGTTGAGGTTATTGATGTTGTTGTCGGTGTTGTTGTTGCTGCTGCTGTTGTTGTTGATAATAAACTTCTGTGGTTTCGAAACAAAGTAGTTGCCATTAATGTTGTTGTTGTTATTGTTGTTGGTTTGTTTTCTCAATGACGATATACTATAGGAATTCTGTACAAACATATATAAGTGTATATTTGTGTTTATGTGTGTGTTTTATTTATGTATGCATGTATGTACGTGTGTGTGTGTATGTGTGCGTGTGTGTTAACAATATTGAAAACTCAAGAGCTTCTAGTTAATGTACCATTGTGAACAAAAACAAACAATGAAATATTAAGAACAAAAATTTTAATAAGACCGTATGATGAAGATTATGACGATGATAGCAATGATGATTATGGGATGATGATAATATTGATATCAGGATTGTTTATATCACAGTATCGCTACCGACGATACGATACACCTTCAGTACCGATTCGGCATCGGTAATTCTTTTGATGGCGAGTATTGAACTTGATACCTCCGATTCTTTTTAGGCAGGAAAATATCGATATCGATACTCAATCCGATACACTCAAACGTAAATTAGATACACTTTTATTAATCACCATTTCAATCTTCCAAGTTTAACGCGATTTTCAATTGCTAATTTTGGGATTTGAATTGAAGTTATGCTGTTTTTTGTGTGTTTGTTTTTGAAAAGCTTTTTTTTCACCGCTGTCCTTTGTATATCTTGAAATGTTTTTGTTCTTTCAAGCAGTTTGAAAAACTTCAAAAACCTTTTTGATCCTCTGATTAACAGATTTCTTCAATTTTTAAAAAGCAGTTGATTCAAAAATTAAAATCATTTGCCCAATCAAACAGCGCTGAAATAATTTCATTTGTTGCCAATGAAATTATGACGCAAACGCATAAACATTCAAACATACAAAAAAATAAACATGCAAACAAACATTGAGACATGCAAAAAACTAAACATACAAACAGACAAACATACAAACAAATAAATATATACAAACAAATCAACATACAAACAAATAAATATACAAGCATACCAACTACACACACACGTACAACCACGCAGATTTAACATACCATCTTGAAAGATAATGTTGATGATAGATACGACGATGAAGATGATGATGACGATATTTGCGATGATAATGATACCGTACATACTGGTGGTGATGATAGTGATATTGGGGCCGAAATAAATGATGATGATGATGAAGAAGAAGATGATGACGATGTTGGTGTTGTTGCTTGCTCTGAAGTTCTTATCAACAAACCTGGAGGAAATAGTTTTGCATGGAAACGATCAATCATTATCGTCTTTCGTAATGCTGCTATAACGATAATAAGAATACTACTACTACTACTACTAATAATAATAAAAATAATAGAATTGATATTATTGCTATAACTGTTATTATTTCTATTTTTGTAATGACAAGAATGAATCACCATTTTGTCTACTGCTCCTAGCAATCGTTACAAAGCCGGAAGTCAACGACCTACTTCCGCCCGGAACGACGGCGTGCTTAGCTGGCCTAGTTTTGCCCGTGACGTCACACTCGTTCGACCCAGTTTTCGTATGTTTCCATGGCGATGACTCGATAGATAGTTGCGGGGGAGGCGGTGGTATTGTTGTTGCTGTTGTTGTTTTGGATTTTTTTAATATGCTGTTGCTGTTGTTGTTGTTGTTAATGTGATTGCTGTTGATGATTTTTATACTATTGTTGTTGTTGTTTTTGTTCGTGTTGATGACGTTGTCGTTGTTGGATGAATGTTGTTTATTATAGTTAGCTCTGTAGTGAAAGTGATTGCTGGTTTTATCGTTCGAGATCATTTTCTCGTTGTCTTTGTTGTTGTTGTTGTTGTTATTATTATTGTTGTTGACGTTATTGTTGTTGTCAATAATGTAGTTGTTGAAAAAGATGTTTGAATTTAAGAATGCAGTCGGTGAGACAGGAGACATCATGAATTCGTCGTTGTCATCAAATTTCTTGAACATGCGGCGTGTTGCTGTTGTTGATGTTGTTGTTGATGTTGTTATTGATGTTGTTATTGATGTTGTTATTGATGTTGTTGCTGATGTTGTTGTTGATGTTGTAGAAGCTGGAAGTTGTTTTCTTAGAGAAACCAAAGTTGAAAAGCTCCTAAACTTAGGCTTATTTTTACCTTTAATTGCTTTGCTATCATTCGGAACGATGTTGCTATCATTAACATTATTAATATGGTTGTATCTGTGGTTTATGATGTTTATGTTGTTGTTGTTAATGGGTTTATTTTTGTTGTTTGTTGAAATTGATTGTGAACTAGTTAGTGATTGATGTTTGTGATTGTTGATGTTGTTGTTGTTGCTGCTGTGTTGTTTTTGTTGTTCGGCTAACGAGAAAATTTTTTTCGAAGATTTTTGTTGCTGGTGTAGATGTTGTTGTTGCTGTTGCTTTTCAAAATTTGTTGATTTCCTATCAAGATAGCGTTGCAAAAGTTGTTGATATTTAAATTCTTGTTGTTGGTCGAGTTGTTGGTTGTTGAAAGTTTTGTTGTTGCGGTCGTCAAATTTGTTGAATTTGTTGTTGCGGGATGTGTTGAAATGTGTTTGTGACTTGCTGCCAGCATCGAAATACTGCTTGCTGTTGGTCACTATTTCTTCAGACCATCGTTTGTTCTGAACTTTATCGCTCTCCTTGTTGCAAGACTTTTCAACATTGTTGCTGCGATTCATCAACAAAGCATCCAACACGGCTTGGTGTGCAGGAAAGGGTTTGTGTTTTGTTGCGAGGTTGCTGTCGTTGCTGCTTGTTGTGAAAAATGTTGAGACATGTTGTTGTGGTTGTTGTTGCTGTGTTGCTGAAGCAGCCATATTTGTTTCGTCATCAGTGTCGAGACTTGATGAGCTTGAGTTGATGTTAATGTTGCAACCGACGCTGTTGTTGTTGTTGTTGTTGATGTTGACAACATCGGTATGTGGATTAGTGCATTTTTTCATGCAGTTGATGTTGCATATGTTATCCACGTTTCCAACTTCGCCCACATTTTGGGTGTTATGTGGAGTCTGCAGTTGAAGCTTACCTTGATTTTGATTTAATATCTGTTGTTGTTGTTGTTGTTTTAATAGATGTTGATGCTGCTTATGCTGTTGGTTTTGTTGTTGTAAGTGTTGCAATTGTTGAATATTTTGTGGCTGATACTGATAGCTTTGTTGGTGTTGTTGACTAAACTGTTGATGTTGTTGCTGAAGTTGTTGTTGTTGTTGATGAAATTGATGTTGTACAACTTTTTCGCTGCAATCCATATTTCAAAACTTTCCTCTAGAAGATAAATTTTAAAAGCTTATAGCCAAAAGAACATGCGAATCACATCAAACAACTACCACATCAGCCACAACTACAACAACTATTTCGTTGAAACAACACACACAACAACACACACACAACAACACACACACAACAACACACACACAACAACAACACACACAACAACAACACACAACAACACACAACAACAACACACACAACAAAACACACAACAAAACACACAACAAAACACACAACAACACACAACAACAACACACAACATAACTTTTCTAACTTCTCTCTCACTCTCATCTCAACAAACAAAACGTGTGTGCTTATACTTACTAACTTGCTTACTACGAACAAACATCAATGTATGAATGTACTGTGGGAGCTGTACGTTATTGTTGTATACATATCTGAATTCACTGTACACGCAATATATGCATACATACATACATACATACATACATACATACATACATACATACATACATACATATATATATATATATAAATATATATATATACATTGTTTAAATGCATGCAACACATCAGTTATATTTAAATGTAGGAATTTGTAATTTTCTGTTTGTGTGTATGTATGTACGTATATATATATATATATATATTATTAATTATAAATAATAATAATAAATAAATAATGATAATAAATAACAATAAAATCATAAACAAAATAATGGTGTATGCATACAATGCAAGCGTGCAAATGCAAGTTCCGTGTGTTAAGTTTTCCTCCATCTTCTCCATTTATACCTTTTTATCTCTTATTTCTCTCATATTCTCTTTCTGTCTCTCTCTCTCTTTCTTACTCTCCTTTTCTCTCTTATTTTATCTCTCCTTTTTTATCTTGTTATTTTTTGTGTGTCTGGGTGTGTAATTGCGTCTTTTTGTCTGTTTATCTTGGCTTGTTTGTGTGTGAATGTGCTTATTTTTGAATCCTTTTGTGTTTATGTGTGTACATCTTGTATATTTTTGTACCTTTGTGTGTACGTTTTGTATGAATTTGATTGCAAACGGTCTATGTGTATGTATTTTTAAACGTATCTATATTTTGTGATAAAAACTCAGGGCGTGTTTTGCGTAACTGAGTGTTTGCGTGCGCGCGCGTGTGTGTGTGTACGTACGTGGTTTTGCACGTACGTGTAAACATGTGTAACCTGTGTTAAAATTATCATCATTATCATAATGATCACCATCATCATCACCATCATCATTGTTATCGTCGTCGTCATCGTCATAATTCTTCCTGTGTGTATTTGTTTATGGCAGACCTCGTTCTCGAGTATTACACTAGCTGCAATTAGGGAAGGTCTCGGAGATGAGTGTTGTGAATGTTTTAATGGATGTGATGGCGATAAAGATGATGACGATATAGATGAGAATGATGATGACGACGATGATGATGACCACAAAAACGACTATAATAATAAAATCAAAAATTTGATTGCAAACAATTTATAAGTTGAAGAATTTCCTCAGACGCGAGGCTTGCGATGATAAAGATGATGATACATAGATGATAAAAATGATGATACATCGATATAAGGATGATGATACATAGATATAAAAATGATGATACATAGATATTAAAATGATGATATATAGACAATAAAGATAAATTAATGATACAAATGGTGATAGATAGATTGCGATGCTAATTCATTATTCTTCCTGTGTGTATATGTTTATGATGATGACGATGACGATGATGGTGATAATCATAACGCAATGATGATACTGATGAAAGTGATGGTGACGACGACGATGTTGATAACCCTTCAAAGAGATTGTATGGAAAAAATTTCAAAATATTTTCATGCAAACGCAAATGCATGCCTGTTCTAAATATATACATAAATATACGCTATATATATATACATATACATACATATATATATATATATGTATATATATATATGTATATATTTATATATTTATATATATATGTATATATTTATTTATATATATGTATATATTTATTTATATATATATATATATATATATTGCCTTGAGCTAATTAACCTCTATTGCTCGCTACCTTATGATTGGCTGTAACGTACTATAAATAAATACCAATACAACAATAAGCATCATGTGTGATGTGTGTGTGCGTGTGTGGATTATTTTATGTGGGTGTATGTTTGTGCGTGTGTACGCCTAAAGTTATTTGCGCATTTTATGAAAGTAACATTAGAAGCTATCTGGCTGGGTTGTGAAATTTTTCTTTGAATTTGTACGTGCCGTTACTTTATCTAATGGGTCGCCACAAATCATCATCATCGTTGCCATCAACATCGTCGTCGTATCTCTATCATCATCCACACACACACATACATACACACACAGACATACACATACACACATGCATATGCACACATACATTTATACATATAAGCAAACACATATACATACATACATAACATATATATATATGCATATATATACATATATAAGCATACACATATACATACAACTCAGATGTTGTTGTTATGAAATTTGAGATCTAGTTTACCTTTAAAAACATTTTTTTAAATAAAAAACGAAAAAACTTAAGGGTAAGGATCTTTTAAGATGTTCTTTGTTGTTTTTGATGATGATGATGATGATAATGCTGCAGATGATGGTGATTTCATGTTAATTAGATTTGATGATGATGATGGAAAAACATGACAATGATGCAACTGACGATTTTATATCCATAGATATAAATAGAATGAATGAAATAAATACATAAATAAATGTAATTAGAATAAATACATAGACATAATTAACGTGAAGATGAAGAGTTTAAAGTTTAGAGTTGGAGTTTTGCGCTCAAGTATGGAGCCCTTACATATTGGGACTCACTAAAGAAGTTGGAAAGATTCAAGGAAGACCAGGAAAACTAGTGAAGTAATGCCAGCACATTCGTTACAACGAGAGGCTGGGAAAGTTAAACCTTCTTTCGCTAGCCTATTGAGGAGATTAAATTTTAGTGTACCAGAAGCTTGGAAGCAGCGTCTCACATCAGAGTACGTACAGGTGCTACACTGCAGAGGATTGTATTTCTCAAACAGAGCTCTTCAATCTGGGAACGAATTGCCAGAAGTTCGGACAATCTTACATTGCAAACAATGTAAAACTGAAGAAGTAGATGATGACGACGATGATTGTGAAAAAAAATGATTAAATTGATAAAAATAATAATCAGATAAAAAAATGATTAATATGATATTATGATAGGGCAGAGAAAACAATTTTTGTGGCAAAAAACAATTGTGTACTTTTTCAAAGTTTTATAATTCGCATATACGTGCATATATGTATGTCTGTATATGTATATCTGTGTATGTATGTGTGTATGTATGTGTGCGTGTTTTACGTTAGAAAAAATATAAATAAATAAACTACCATAAAATGTTCATTAATTTTTATTAATGCCAAGTACCTACATCAATTTTTACTGCTATTAGCGTACGGAGAACCTGTGATGTTGTTACGATGAATTATCTACTATCCACCGTTCGAAGGTTTTTGTTAAAAATAGTGCTATTCTTATAATTATTATTATTTATTTTAATATTATTTATTTTATAAATAATAATTATATAAATAATTTTATTATTATTATTATTCTGGTACATACCCATAACATATGTGAGATGTGTAATTATGTAATATAATATAATGTAATGTTTAATTATTATTAATGTTGTTCTTAAAATTAAAAAACGAGACGTTATTATTATTACTATCATTAAATATATTATTTTATTATTTAAGTAAACATTATAACCTATTGAAAAGTTATTTCGGGGAAGTATTCTGTTTATTCAATGATAATATGTTATCATTCTGATTAAATTAATAAGATTAATACGGGCATCTAGTGGAGTCGTTTATTTGTTTTCCATCGTGGAAATGTTTGCATCATTACCAGCATGGCCTTTATCATTTCTACCCATGGATATAATGGATATATATCAATGAACATAATGGATACATTTCCATGTTTCTATCACCTTTTCCATCGACGTCATCTTCATCATCAGCATCGTCGTCTTATTTCTTCACGAAATAAAATTTGTTGGATTTTGAAATGATGTTAACGAGATTTGTTACCTGTCTGTGTGTGTGTATGTTTGTATGTGTGTGTGTTTTCATTGTCGTTATCATCACCGCCATCTCAATCATTGTCACTGAAATAGAAGGTACATTTCTTACATCATTTCTTCTGTTTAATATCAGCGACGAAATGTCAGCTGCTGCAACCACACAAATATGTATTTTGATCCCATTAACAAAGGTCCCATTTCATTTTCATCTAAATATCATATGAACCTCATTTTCGCCCATTCAATGAAAGCACACACACATACACAGATACACACACACACATAAACACACACACACATAAACACACACACATAGACACACAAATGTGGCAATTCTCGTTAACATCACTTCAAAAGTCAACAAATTTTATTTCGTGAAGAAAATAAACGTTTAAAGCAAAACAGAAAAACAAAACAAATAAATAAAATATAACGAAGAAACGAATGAATAACTGAACGAACAAACAAACGAATGAATGAATGATTGAACGAGTGAATAAGCGATTGAACAAACTAAAGAATGAAAAGATGTATAAACGAATACACCATCAACGAAATCAAAGGTTCTTAATCAAAAAAAAAACAAAACCCTAAATATAGGCAGAACAAACCCAAACATTCATTTAAAACAGAAACGTCAAACTGATTTAAAAAAAAAACGACGGAGAGAGAGAGAGAGAGAGAGAGAAAGACAGAGAAAGAGAGAGGGAGAGAGAGAGAAGGAGAGACAGAGATAAACTAAAATGATTAGTAAATAACTAGTTATATTACCTTCTTACCTACCTTTCCACATATTCCCGATGTAGCTAACCACAACGACAAAAATCATTACATACAATCACGACGCTGATACTCTTAGAAAATAATAATAATAATAACAACAACAACAAAAACAACAACCACAACATCAATAATAATACGAACAACAGCACGAAACAAAAAACCAACCATCTTATATATATATATAGTTGTTGATCGTATATAGAATATATTATACACACACACACACACACACACACACATATATATATATATATATATATATATATACATATATACATACTAGCATCATTGTTTTGTGAAAATGAGTATAGACATAATTAAGAATTAAGCTTAATAGGAGAAATTATAACAAATTACAAGAGCGCTTAATTAAGATAAATCGTTCTATCTTAATTATTATTTTTATTATTATGATAATTATTTTTTATTATTTTGTGCAAAAATGTTTATTGCCATCATCATAACCATCGTTTATTATTATTATTATTATATTATAATTATATATTATATTAATATATTATTATTCATAAGTAAATTAATAACACAATTTTTCATAATAATAGACCAAAATTAATAAAATGACATTTATATCATTATCTGATAAACTTCCTAATGTCATCATCATCGTCGTCGTCGTCATCAAAATCATCATCATCACATCTTCTCGACAGTGTTGATCCCTAATATGTGGAAGCCCATCTTTATGACACGGGCCACAGCCTCACAGAGTACCAGCCTATCAACGTTGATCTTTATCACTTCACCTGCCATGTGATTGGTCGGGTGGGTTGAATGAATCAACGTGATTGGTCGACTGGGTGTGATGAATCGATGTGATTGGTCGAATGAATTAATGTTTTTAGTGCTGATTGGGTTAGATGGAGTGAGCTATGTGACTGCTTGATTAGATTGTTTAGATTAGATGAATGAGACTGCAAATGAAATTGGTTGACTGTAATATAACCACCATTAACCATCACCATTATCATACTCATCTTCAACATCACCTCCATCCTACTCACCTGTATTCCTATCCTTCTCAACAACATAACAGGCATCGTAGAACTCGGTGAATGTAGTAGCCAGCTCGTAGAGATAGTCGCATAAATTATGCAAATACAGATCGACCAGGCACCTGTTTATGATCTCGGCAAACCTGCACACGTGCTTTGCTAGTTTCCACTCTTTCGGGTGCTCCAGGGAAGGAGGACCATGATTGGCCAGGTCCTCTGGTGTCAAGGTCGTTAGCCGGGAGATGGATCTATCATTGGTTGATTAGTTAGTAGAGTAGATTGATGGCTATATAATTTTTGCCTATATGAAAACTCTCTTGGTTTTTATTCCTTCATTCAGATTCTCCATAAATTGAAAATCAGTTACTCCAACCAATCAATCGACCAACCAAGGAACCAAGCAACCGACCAACCTAATCCTCATATAAGCATACTGCAAGTAAACTGCTGTGTTTCCTTTATCATCCAACATCTTTGAGAAGTTCAATAAAACGAAAAAACGAATCAAATTTCGTAAATAATCAACTAACTTACATAATTTTTTAATAATTAAAATTTGAAAACACAATTGAAGCAACTACACTTGTTTGGGAATTGTTTTTACAACCTTATCAAATGAGAAGACGTAATCATTAGTCCTGCAATGTGATAGGTCGGCATATTTTATACAACCGTAAGCCACCGCTTCCTTTGCTAAACTCAGCTCCTCATTGGTCAGAACCTTGTCCCTTCCCTTGTCAATCAATTTTTGCCCCGCCCTCTTCAGACCCTCCTCCAGAAGATCCATCAGTCGAACCGTATCTCCCGATCGAGTTTTGAATTTCTTTCTGTTTAGGAGACCAAATTAATATAACAGTTGAAATAATATAATGTAATAATATAATATAAGAATAATAATAATAAAAATAATAATATTCTGACAAACCATGGAAAATTATGAAATATACATTATAATATTAAATATATAATAATAATTAGCCCTATCATCAGCTGCTATAATAATAATGATAATTATATAAATACCCCCAAAAAGAAACAGTGAACACACGGCAAACTGAAGCACGAAATAAATTTTTAAAATATCTCCAAAAAATATGAACGTAATATATACTGTGATATATAATCCCGCCATGTTGTAAATATAAATAAATGTTAAACTAACTTATCCTCTCCCAGAACCACACCGAATCCGATGTGTTCGACCCGGATCTTTGCGGGATCGAACCAACCAGCCTTCGCTCCTGCATCGAAGACACCGTTTAAGTGGATTGCCTGTGGATTAGTGGATCGATGGATGGACAGATAAAATGATGGATGAATGATTAAACTGACGTACGAACGAACGAACAAACGAACGAACGAACCTGTCCAGAGTCGACAACGTACAGTATTTCTTCAGCTTTCTCTTCAACAAGTCGATGTTTCAGTGCAGCCATGTCGGACGTGTCGTAAGTCATCCCGCCATCTGACTTCACTATTGTGAGAGGGACTTGAGCTCCTGGAGGCCAGCATATCTTTCGACCCTGCAGTGTAATGTGTTTGTCGGTACTGTTGGCGTAAGTCCGAGCCGATCAATCAATCAATCAATCAATCAATCAATCAATCAATCAATCAATCAATCAATCAATCAATCAATCAATCAATCAATCAATCCATCAGATAATCCGCAAGCACCGACCAGCCAACCAACCTCATCGAGTTCCAACATATTTAATTTTTCCAACTCTTCTACAACAGCTGGCATAAGTGGTTGATAGAATGATTCCCCTCTGTCTACGAGGTCCTCAATGTCAAAGTGTTTGTAGATCTTCATGAATTCTGAATGTATATTTGTGTGTGTGTTGTTGTGTTTGTATGCTGTTGTGTTTGTATGTTGTTGTGTTTGTATGCTGTTGTGTTTGTATGTTGTTGTGTTTGTATGCTGTTGTGTTTGTATGTTGTCGTGTTTGTATGCTGTTGTGTTTGTATGTTGTTGTGTTTGTATGCTGTTGTGTTTGTATGTTGCTGTGAACATTAAGTACTCTTGATGTTATAGTTCAGCACTTCTCAACCTTTTGAGATTCAAGGACCGTTTAAAAAAATGTGTATCTCAGCCGCTGATCACTACTAAAAATTTTGCTACTAGAGCACTTGAAAAACACTAGAGCACAATATATATATTTATTATTTCATATGATGACGTAACTGCTACACTTAGTTGGTATAACATAGTTCTTAGTATAACTATTACACATGGTTGGTATAACATAGTTCTTAGTATAACTATTACACATAGTTGGTATAATATAGTTCTTAGTATAACTATTACACATAGTTGGTATAACATAGTTTTAGTATAACTATTACACATGGTTGGTATAACATAGTTCTTAGTATAACTATTACACATAGTTGGTATAACATAGTTCTTAGTATAACTATTAGACTTAAAGAACTACAGCTACCACATTTGACTATAGGCGTATTAAAATTGTTATTAAAAATTATTTATTATATATTTTAATAAATGTTTTAACTTGAAATTAAAAAGTATAAGGTTCGTTCTGCATTGATGTTTGCATGCAGCTTATCTCACAGCGTGTCTGGCGATCATCAATTTTTATGTCAAATTGTAATTGTATCCATTACAATGAACAAATGTCACTTGCTAGCAACAATGAATAATGAATATTAATAAACAGGTGGTTTTTGAACGTTCCAAGTACATTAGGAATAATGCTACATTTAATTTCAGTGTGGGCCTTGAGTTTGCACAGTTGAGCATAGCTTATCCGAATGGGGTGTAATGCTGGAAATACTCTATCGGAGTTCATCTTTTTATTTTAAAAAACTAGCACTTCACACTTTGCACTCCTCGGACCACAGCTTGAGAACTGCTGTTATAGTTTATACTGGTAATTTATTGCTGGCCTTTGGAGAATTGTTGGAATGTCATGAAATGTACGCAATATTATCAGCAACCTCACTCCAGATCATTATAATTATTAATCTGATTTATTCATCAATGATAATATCAGTCATAAACATCTCAATCACCCTCATCATCATCATCTCCAACATCATCATTATCATCATCATCGTCATAGCAGGAGACAACCCACCGACCTTTCCTTGACTCATCACAAATGAGATTCCAAGCCTTAGTGGTGTTGGGTTCGTAGCTCTGCAGTTGAACCACAGCAGCGTACGCTCGCTTCTTAAACTCTTCATCGTTGTCAAATCGAGCTTTTGATTCCTTCATGGATGGATGGATGGATGGATAAGTGAATTGATAGATAGATTGAATGATTTATGGATGGATGAATGCAGATATATAGATAACTGAACTGACAGATGGATGATAGAATAAGCAGCATGAAAACTATAAACGGAGGTATGAAAATAATGAGAAACAAAACAAAGTGGCCCCACTTTGTAGAAGGCCTGTAGATCTCCAATTGGAGGCGAAACAGTCAAATAATTGGGAAATTTTTCACTGAGATTGGCAATCAGCATACCAAACTGCGTCCCCCAATCACCTAAATGGTTCAATTTCAGGACATTATGACCGACAAACTGGTAGAGACGTGCAATACTTTCACCGATGATGGTAGACCTCAAGTGGCCGACGTGCATTTCTTTGGCAATGTTTGGGGACGACATGTCAATCACAACTTTTTTCTTTTTAGGGATGTGAGGTGGTTTTACGCCATTTTTGACAATTAGGCTGATTAATTTTGAAATGAACTGCTTGCTGAGGAAGAGGTTTATGAAGCCTGGTCCTGCCAGTTCAACCTGTCGTGTTGTTTGCATGTTGCTGTGTGGTCAGTTGTGATCATATGTTTGTTTTGCTGTTGTTGTGTTGTCAATTCGTTATTATTTAAATGTGCATGTTGTTGCTCTCCATTTCATGAATGTCCAACATAAAAATATACTCTGCTAGGCTACTTTTTTTATACAATACTTACACACAGAATGTAGTTGTGCTAAATTAAAAAATATATTTGAAAATAATGATTCCAAATCTTTGATTCATCATCATCCAGATGTTTCAGATTATTATTAAAGACATAAAATAGAGATAAACACTACAACAATGATAATGACAATTAAACATAAACAGCAGGAACCTTATCAACATAAGGAGACGAAGGCAGGTTTTTAACTATCTTCTCTGCAACCTCTCTAGGACTCACTTTGGGTTGAGTCTTTTTCAATGCCTGATTATCCCATTATTTAATGTTTAACAAATAAACATGCTACTGAGAAATATTATAGCTAATTAGAGACATTGTTAATGTATGGTAATTGTGTCCAATCATATTAACAATACCCCATATAAAAATGGCCCAAAGATTATCAATAATGATAATTTTTTTTAAATAATGTGCCAACAATTTGTAATAACATTATAAGTGTAATTGGATAGCGCTTAATAAAATAAATTCTCAAAGTTTAGTATGTGATGACCATAAAAGAGCACCTGAGACAAATTCATGGCACTATTACACTGGTAGTCACCATACTTCTCATGCGTGCTGGGAGTTACAGAGACCACAAAATCTTCCTGGTCGGGGTAGAGGGCTTTTATGACGTTAGTGAACAGGGAAGTAACGAGTTGGAGGACATCTGGAGAGTGGTCTGAAGATGTGCCATTACTTACCTCCTCATTTATGCTCTGATGAGAATTTTTGTTTTCATTATTCGTCGTTTTTATTAATCCTTACAACACTTTTTAATTTCATTTTTAACTTTGATCATTTTATTTGAAAAGAAATTGCAGTAATAAAACAAAGATAAAATTTGAAAAGTCAACAGAAAATGTATGAATGCCTTGTTTAAGTGGGCCAGTTGGTATTTCAGTTTGCTATTTTCAGTAACTAGCTTCTCCAACTCAGGTGTGTAATCATCGTCAGTCAACTCCATTTTACCGGATTTCACTAATTCCAGTTCTTTTTCAAGTTTAGAAACTTCAGATTCCTTTGAAAAAAAGTGGTTAGTAAAAATAAATAACAGTACAATACAGTAGGTAGGATAAGTCAGAAGAGAATAGAAAACATGGATGAAAGAAAGAACAAGCAATTAAGTTTTTAAATTATGATTCTAGAATTTTTAAAAAGACTTGCACTTCAATTAATTGTTAATACTTAATTTATTTAAATTTAAATTAGTTAATAAAAAAATGAAACAAATATATTGAATAAATAAAAGTCTATTTCTATTTCATTTTCTCATTCCCACAGTCAGCAAGATGAGATCAATAACAATTATGAATAAAACTCAATCTCTTCAAGCATCAACAAATTAAATTTCAAACAAAATAAAATTAATTAAATTATTAATTTATTTAAATTTTAAGTTAAAAAAACCAACAGCTTTCTCCAATTGAGACAAAATCAACTCCTGATCAGCGAGACTCATGACGGAGATATTCTGATTTAATTAAATAATTTCAAAATTATGATGCAACTTTTGAAGAACTTTCAAGCCAGTCCAATAGATGAAAAATACCCAACCAACTGACAGCAGACAGACTCACAGCGCACCACGGCTATTATTAAATGCTTTCGATGGCGGCTGCTTAATATCGCTCGCATAAAGAGAAAATAAAAATTTTATTTGGAAATTTTCTCTTCTGGTTTCTGTAAAAAAACGCGCTGCAACTTGTACTTCTATACATCTTATACACGTACGGCACACAATTACTCATTACATATACGAAAACATTCAAATTTACGCCAACAAATCTGCGAAACATCAAGTCCAACCTAGCTTTCTGCTGCGCATTAAATGCACAACAGAAATACCTTCTTGACAACCAAACAATCCCATTTTTTGAGGTTTTTTTTAAAAAAAAACATTCAACTATGTATAAATATAAAAAGAATTTATTTAAAAAATTGAAAATTCATAAATAAATGAGAATTTAAGAAGTCTTATTACAAGAATGTATGATGGCGTCGATCCGGTTGACGATAGACCTGGCACTTTGGTGGTCAGACTCGAAAGATTTCTCCTTGACCTTACCGTCCTTGGCCGTCCTCACAACCAATCGCAGAAGGGAGTAAATGTTGTTACCCTTTTTATTATCTCGATTGGCAATGTAACAGGAGGAGATGGAGTTGAAGTTGTAGGAGATCGTTTCGTCTTGTTTTTTTGATGATGAAGGAGTTTTTAAGAACTGACTGATCTCTAAGTGTCTGTTTTTGAATTCTGTGAATAAATGGATGAGTGGATGAACGAATGAACAAATAAATAAATGAACGTAAAGATGATCGAGTGAATGAAAAAAGTTGAAAAAAGAATAACGAAAAATGAATAAATAAATGAACGGTTGAATGAATCAGCCAATCAATTGTAAGAAATTAATCAACCCCGTCAGCCATTTAGTCAGTCAGTCAGCGCTATACAAGTATCTAATGAATAAATAAATGAATGGAAGAATGAATGAATGATTGAATGAAGGAATGAACAAATGAATGAACGAGCAAATCAACACAGAAAAACAAACCGACCTAACTTGACATCAGTAGCATGCCTGTACCTATGTAGCATTCTTAATATGTAAATGGAAGGTGGTGACGACGACGACGACAACGCCTCGTTCATTAGCGCAAATAACGGAGGTCCTGACGATTCTACAATAATAATAATAATTATTATTATTATTCTAATAATAATAATTGTAATAATAAATCGATACATCTCTACTGCTACTATTACCGCTACTGTTGCTACTACTACTATTACTACCACAAAAAATAATAATAAAGACAGCCATAATAAGAATAATAATAGTAATAACAATAAAAGATGAAAAAAATATTTTAAAACGGGCGAACTGTTTTTATTCTTGCCATGCTGGTACAACTTAGCACTGCTCTTATCAAATTCAGCATTCTGTGAATCACCTTGAGGATATATTATTATTATTATCATTATTATTATTATTATTTAAGTTAACTTAACGTATTGATGATACATTAAATTACTCTTACATTAATTATTGTTATAGATGATAATATTGAAATGAAATTGGATAAATGAGAAACTTTTTCTAAGTGAGTGTTTCTGCTGTTGTTGCTGGCGTTGTCTTCCGACATGACTAACGCAAGAACCATCAACATCAAGAAGATCATCACCATCATCTCCACCACCATCATCATCAGGACGATGATGATGGTGGTGGAGATGATGATGATCATCATCATCATCGACATCCAAATGCGAGACATCTAGGTCATCATTTTTAATGAAGCCACCACCGTCATCCATGTGGTCGTTGTGGCTTTGGTGGTCGTTCTCGACGAGGGCGAATTTGTTGAAGTTGAATTTGGCGACGGGTTCGTGGGGGTCGAGCGGCGGGAAATCGTAATCGACTTCACCGTTGTCTTCAACAAGATTCAACGAGTAGTTCTTTACGTTTGGTCTGTTTGTTGACGTGAACGAGTGAGTGAATTGATGGATGAATAGATAAGTTGAAAAATGAATGAATGAATAATCGAATGAATGAATGAATGAATAAATGAACGACTGATGGATTAATTGATTGAACGAAAGGGTTCACAGGTCGGAATATATATAGTTGGGAATAAGAAAAAAATGATAAACGAAATATAATATGAAACATGGTTGAACACTCATAGTACTAGAAGGTGGTCTATGAGGTTACACTAACAACCATCCACTTCCTAAGTCTAAAATGTCACTTGTTAACACCCTCAATCCTCAATTCAACTAATCTTTAGTTCAACCCATTTATTTTTTCATTTTTTATTCACTCAATCGCTCATCCATTCTTTATTCCCCTAATCACTCATTCATTCACGTGTTCACTCACTCACTCATCCATCCATCCATCCATCTATCCAACCAACTAACATCAGTTTTGGTCCCCTATTCTCAGTAGTATACTTCCAACATATGAGACCTATCAAGTCTTCAACCTAATTCGAAAAGCAATGCTAAAAATTATGATAAAAAATAACAACAACAACAACAACAATAACAATGATAGTAACGACAACATTAATAACAAAAATAATAACAACAGCCAGCCTTTGTATTGGTCAAGCTGATGTTGACCGACATTGGAAAGGCCCTTTCGGCTGGAGCTGTTAACATGGTCAGGAAAACATCATAGGTCTTTGCTGTGCTACACATACCCTAGGTGCGTGTGTATGTGTGCATGTGTGTGTGTAGTTTCCTGCCTGTGTTTGCAGTGTTTGTGTGCACTTGTGTGTATTTTCTTGTGTTGTGTGTGTGTGTATGTGAGTGTGTGTGTATGTATGTTTATGTGGGTAAGTTATATCCAACCTGTCCATCAAACTTAGCATAGGCCGAAAAAGGATTGGTGGAAGCCATTTTGTCGAATTCTTCAATAAGCTGACCTAATCTGGATTTTGTGCATCTTGCTGTGGTTGACGGTATGGTTGGTAGTGTGGTTGATGTTGCCGATGGTGGCTTCAATTCTTCGGTGGGAAACATTTCATCCAAGTCTTCTTTTGCTGTTGTGTGGATTGTAAGATTGAATGATTCAGTTTTTAATGGCTCTATTTCAAGATTTTGTAATTGGGCCATGTTGTTCCAAATAATTTAACAAAACAAGCACATAGAACTTCGATTGTTACTAAGTTAGAATAAGGTTGATCAGTTATAGATGTTCATAATGAGAGATTTTGAAGCATTCATAGCTTATAATCAATGATAAAAATAAACAATTGATAAATAAATGGGTGATGAAAAACAAAAATAAAATTAGATTAGGAATTAGTGATAGATCACAGACATGGGTTTTCCCCACACTTCCAAGTGATGTGCTGAATTCTGCTCTGCTTTTGTTTGTCAGACATCATCTTCTCAATTCTTTGCTGGGCTGTGTTCGACCTGCACCTATGGCCTGTATGATCATTTGTTTTCAATGTATGTATTACATTGCAGAATCGTTGATACTGGGTATTTCAATCAGATACATTATACTTTAATGTAATGTTAATGTAATTGTAATTTGATGTATTGTACTCTAGCATACTGCTTATGCAATAAAAACTTTATATTATAAAGAAATGTGAGATAATGAAGTTTAAAATGATTCATTTGTGTTATTTGATTCATTGGCATGCAGTGTAACATGTAACACAACAGTAACTGTGTAAAGTAACACGTAACACTCACCATAATCCATGCCAGGTACCACATCGGGAGATTGGGAGAGACAAATCACTTCTGTCGGTGACGACGGACTCCTGGAAAAGTAGCAAGAAGTTATTTTAATTTAATATTTAACTAATTTTAATTTAATTTAACTAAGACTTCAAATGTTAAAATTTAAAACAGATATTATTATTTATTTATTATGCTCTATATTTGGGGCTGAAAAAATTAGACTTTTAAATTAGAAATTTAAAAATTTTAAAAATTAGAATTGAAAATAACTTCATAATTATAAAAAAACTTTATAAAAAAAACTTTATAAAAAAACTCCATAAAAAAAATTAATATTTCATTTTTGAAATATTAATTTTTAATTTATTTAATTTATAATATATTTTTTAAAAAATATAAAAAAATGCCTTTCTCTTCTGACAAAAGAATAGGAGCGTTTCTTCTCCATTCTGTTTCGGTTGTCCTCACTCTCCATCACCAGCTCACTGACTCCTGTTTCATCGCTGGTTATGAAGGCCATCCTGATGTGAGCCAGCAAGATTGCCGGATCGTCCATTGTGAAATTAAAATTGACTGGTTGCAGGTTGTTTAATGCCAGATTATTAGTGAAAATCCTAATTTTCAATTTAGGGTAGTTAGTATTAGTTGACGCCCCTATTAACCATCCTATCTAAATCCAACTAAACCAATTTTAATGACCAACCAGGATAGTATCTTATCAATCAAATGGTCAAAATCATATAATTAGAATAAATATAACG